GTATCTTGGTCTTCAAATAGCTTGGATTTAGCTGGCAATCTAGATTGGTATTAGCACTTGTCCCTGATTTCTGAAAAAAAATGCTTCAGCTTGTCTCCTTAATGGATATTAAAGAAATATGTGTGTTGTCCTTTTGCCTAAACTCAGTTTCTATGTTCATTGTTTGTACTGAGAGGGGTTACAAGCACATAAACAATCTGAATAACAAACACATCTTCAGTGCAGTTCTATCATTTGATTGTACTGCCGGCATTCTGAAAAATATGTCCAATATTGGATAATGTTATTTCTTTGTTTCTGTTGTAATCTGAATAATTTCGAATTACCATTCATCTTTTTACATTTTGCAGGCAGAGTGACGGCAGAAAGTGTGGTTTACAGTTTTGGGACCATGTTACTCGATCTTCTAAGTGGCAAACATATACCCCCGAGCCATGTAAGTTTAGAATTAGCCTGGTTATGCTGCGTCTCAAGATGTATGAACTAATCTTCAAATATCTTTTGCTATCGCATCGGATATGTCATTGTGTTGTGGTTGCTTTGTTGATGACATACTTGATCCTACTGTTCGCTTGAAGCGATAGTTAGGTTTGGTTTTGACTCTGGACTTTAGAGTCAGGGTTCAAATTTTGACCACCTTTATCTTAGTATCAAAATGGTCAATATTTGGGACAAAGTATTATGAGCTAGTACTAGGTTCTGACCCTTACAATATTGCTTCCTTGATGTAACAAAGTGGCAAAAAGGCTTCCTGCACAAATTTCGAGAATCTCTCTCTTCCATGGGTGGAGGTTTTTGTTACAACAATGGGCCATGGCATTCTGTGAATCTGTTCTCATTAGTTTCCCCCTATCCTCCTCCTTGCTATCCACTGAGATTCTACTTAATCTTGCATATTGCTGCTTCAGTTCTGTTGTTATTTAAGGATGATCTTCCCAAATTCGGGCTTGCTGAAATATAGCCTAATTGCAGGCACTTGATCTGATTCGTGGCAAAAATTTCCTGATGCTGATGGATTCTGCTTTAGAGGGTCACTTTTCGAATGATGATGGAACTGAGCTAGTTCGTTTAGCTTCCCGCTGTTTGCAATATGAAGCTCGTGAGAGGCCAAATGCAAAGTCCCTTGTCACAGCCCTTATGTCACTACAGAAGGAAACAGAGGTATGATTGATTGCACACTGTCTTTTACTTTTAAGCATTTCTTTTTCAGTACTAAGAAGGTTCTACTGTGTTTTTGTTGAAATCTTTCATATACATGTGACCACCATTAGACAACAATTTTGCTTGTGCAAAAATTGCTGTTTGTTGCTTTGAGCACAAGCAAAAACCCAGTCCCTACCCTGGTCCCAGCTGCTGGTCTGAGCATCCTGTGGCTATGCTACTAGTATAGGGATATTTCCTATGATTTTTTTTCTGTTTGGCCAAAATATGTCCTACGAACTTTTATTTGCCTCACTAAGAGACTTGACTTCAGCTTGTCGCAATAAAAGTTGATTACTCCCTGTCTGGGCACAAGCTATCTCTCATTCCAAGAGTTTTCTAGCAGGTTCCATCACATGTACTTATGGGTATCCAACGGGAGAACCAGTCTCCTGCACAGCCGTTGTCACTGACACCATTTGGCGAGGCTTGCTTGAGAATGGATCTCACTGCAATTCATGAGATATTAGAGAAGATTGGATACAAGGACGATGAAGGAATTGCCAATGAGGTACATCCCTGTTTTTCTGTATCGAATTTTCACCAACTCCCTGCATGAATAAAGTACCTTGATGACACTGAACACAATTTACGGCATACATCGATGTATGTCTGGAAAGATTGGCATAGTTTCCTCTTTTGACCAAATCTAGAAGAGGCAACCAGGCTGTGGTTCCCCGGAGAGTCATTGACTTCATGCAAGTGTTTTCTGTGCTCTCCAGAACTTAGTTGAAGTATCCAACATTTGAGTGCTTGCTTCGGGTTTTACAGAGGATTATCAAGTTTCACTACTTAGTGTCATCTGGTTGCTGTTCTAGAAACCCGAATCCTGCTTATCAATCTCAGGTGGCTCAAACACATTTCCTGTAAAATGAGCATAACCAACCACACATTAGTAGGAATTGTGTAATCGTTTCTTGTTGGAGATTAATGACCTAGATTTCGATTATGAGAACTTTTCCCCCAAATGTGATCGATTCAGTTTTAACTTTATTGTTTATATTTTTCGATAGCATAAAGATAAATGCTCCAAGTAAATCATTTTTTTTCCTACGGTCTGTCAACAACTTCCAACTCTGAGATGACTAGTCCTCTCCTGCAGCTGTCTTTTCAAATGTGGACCAATCAAATGCAGGAGACCTTGAATTCGAAGAAACATGGCGATACTGCTTTTCGAGCAAAGGATTTTGGAACTGCTATTGATTGCTATACCCAAGTAAGTTTTCTGATACCAAACCTTTTTAACTATAATATTGTTAGTAGACCCGTCAATGTAGATAGACTGCTATGGGTAGGAATAAAATGAATCAGATCTGTTGACATCCTTTTCTGGTGATTGGTTACATAATCTGATAACAACTAGAAAGAGAGGAACCATTGAGTTTAGACCTTTGTTTCTGCTTGTTGCGGAGAAATGAAAAGAAAGAGTAACGGGTGCCGGAATGAGTATATTAGAAGACTGTACTTTAAGCTATGTTTCAACCGCACTTTGTCCAGGAAGGCAGAGATAGCCCCTTCTTTTCGACAGAAAATGGTCCAACTTCTTATTGTCTCTTTGTTTGTAGTTCATCGATTGCGGGACCATGGTTTCGCCCACCGTCTACGCTAGGCGGTGCTTATCATACTTGATGATGACTGACATGGCCCAAGAAGCTCTCGGCGATGCGATGCAAGCCCTGGTGGTGTCTCCTGAGTGGCCCACAGCTTTGTATCTTCAAGCGGCCTGCATGTTCAGCCTCGGCATGGAAAACGAAGCACAGGAATCTCTCAAGGACGCCACAAGCTTAGAAACAAAAAGGACCAAACATTAATAAAATGTATAGTTTTTTCTTCTTTTCGGCTTCTCTACCTACTTTTCTTCCTCTGCCACCTCGTTCGAGCCCCTTTGCTTCCGTTGTAATGCTTGTCTTCCTGTATTTATTTACTCTGATTCCGATCGGAGTGAACGACCATGAGATTCTTTCTTTTTTTTGTCCCTTTTCCTTTTGGAAAAATCTTGATTGCAATGGTCTTACATTTTTGTAATGTATGAAAGTTCATTTCGAAGATTTACAATCGTCTTTTCTCACTCAAAATCTACTATGCCTTCATGACCGGGTCTCGGCCAGTCTTCTTACCTGAAGAACTAATCCTCTTTTATTTAGTAGTAGTATTGGAGTGGTGCTTCCTGGGTAAAGGATCTATCTAAACCTCTTTTTATTTCATATTCATAGGTTTTTTGCACAAGCATCCGATGTTGACTGTGATGTTTGTCTAGTTGGCAGACAATATTGGTAACTACTGGTTCAAATTAGAATTTGATAATTTCATATATCCTTGGTAACTTAATCTCCAAAATTAAATGTTGGTAAATCATTTGAGTCGTCAATAATATTCGACAATGTCGATTATTTCGTGTGAAATGTGGTCATTTTAATTCGTTGTAAACTCCGTGATTGTTGGTAAGCTATTGGAACAGTTCCTACTTCAGAAACAATAAGAAATAGGTGAGCAAGTTATTGGAAAAAATTGGTAATTATAAAAAGAAATCAAATAAAAGTTAGTAACTGAATCAAATAAGAGTTGCTAGTTTCGTGTAAAATTGGTTACTTAGGCTCCGCAAAACATGTTAGTAAATTATTATAATAGCTAGTAATTATGGAAAGAGGTTATAATTGCTTATAAAAGTTAGTAGCTCATAAAATAGCTTATAAAAATTGGTCTCTTTAGTAGGTTGGTAAGGTCTCAAACAAATGTTGGTAAAAACATTGCAATGGTACTTTCGAAAGAATCAAGTAAACATTGATAGCTAGACTCAAATAATTGTTGATAAAATATTGTGGTAGTTAGTAATTTAGGAACAATCAAACAATTATTGATAAGTGACTCAAATAAAACTTGATGATTTGATGAAATAATTGGTCACTTAAGCTCCGCAACTGAATGTTGATACGTTATTGAAATGATCGATAATTTTCACTAGTGTTGGTAATTTTGTGTAACACTTGATTACTTCAAATCGTTTGTAAACCCCGCAAACAAATGTTGGTAGATTGTTATACAGTCGATACTTTTTACTAATAAATGAACGTTACTAGTAAATTTAAGACATGGGTACTGCTAAAATCCAAAATTATCTGTGTTATTGAACAAGTTCGTAAGTAGAGTTAGTTATATTTGAACAAGTTGGGAGTCTCCACAATACAAAAGACTAAATGATTGCAATAGTTTTTAAAACAATCAAATACAGGTTGGTAAGTGACTCAAATTAAAATTCATATAAATAAAATTAGATGGTAACTCATCAAAGATAAGTTGGCAAAAAGCTCAAACTACAGTTGGTAATTTTCTATAAATGATTAGGAACTTCTTCTTTTTTAACACATTGTAAGCTTCAAACTTTTCCCGATAAATTTCATGAAAAGCCTGCAGTGAAATATAGTAGAATAAAAAACGAAGGACAAAATTCCAAATCAAAAGGAAAATTGAATCTGACCTTCCAAATCGTCGCAATCATTCATTAAATCTCTAGCACCTGTCAAACTAAAATCTCAATTTTTTTTTTTCATTTTGGTAGATCAAACCTTCAATATTTCAGGAAAAATTTAACCAAAGCACATTTTGAATTTCAAATTATGTCTGTTTATAGATTTAGCAGGAATAAAAGCTTCCAAGTTAGTATTTCTGCATTCAAATATCCATTTAAACATTTTACATTAATCTCAAACACATAAATTCGACTCAACCTAAATTATCTTAAGCTAATTAATCTACCTATACATAATTACTCTACTGCTTTGATTAAAAGGGTGAAGACATCATAGCAAATAAAACATTAAATATTCGCAATAAATGGCTTGAAAATCAGGATTAGACTTTACAAGACGGCTTCAATGATGATAAGCTATCATCAAGGGCGTTAGCAGGGCAATGATGAATATATATACAGTTGCACACTTCCTGACCCTTTTGACAGGGAACTCCAATTTAGTGCCAAACCACATATAATGTCAACGCAAGAAGGAAGAAAATTTAATAGCCGTACGCTCTTGAATCATGAGAAAACACTCCCATAAACATGTACCTCTGATTGTCCATGGAGGAGCACACTAAAATTGCACAGAATGACTCCACATGTAAATTGCTTTGAAGATGGTAAATGGAAAATTCCCTACTTTCCCTTCTTTTTTCCTTTCTGTAAATTTTACTCGTAAAAGCGACTGCTAAGTCCCTTGAATTTTTACGTGTGAAGAGAGTGCGGCGACCCGAGTCTACGACGACGGCACGTTGAAGTGGAAAAGCCACGATATGACAAAGGCAAATACTATGCAAGCAAGCAGCAAATTCAAGAAGCGGTGGCCCTGCCAGAAGTTCCGGGTCTCTGAAGACAGCGTTGGGGCGGCCGGGACGGCCGATGAGGCGGCGGGATTGTCGATCTCTATGGTCAACTGCTCGACCGACTCTACCTCACTGACGCCAGTAACGTTCCGTGCAATGGAGTTACAGATCTCGCAGGTCCTAGAAAGTCAGGGAGATCAAAATGAATCCAATCAAAGAATATCCAAAAAAAGAGGAGAGAGTATGTCATGCATAGTCTTAGAAATTACATTATGTAGATGGCTCTAGCTGGGCATCAGAATGAGGTTAAAGAGTATGCTAATGTCTATTGGACAGAGAAGAAGCTGGTTTTTCTACCAGGAAGGCCATAGGTGCAATACTGTGAACAATGGGGAGCTTAGATGTACACCGTGATTTTCGAAATCAACGCTAATGAAAGATCCCATTAAGCTGAATTGAATTGCATCAATGTATTTAAGAACTCGAAAATCCAAAATTTGAACTGATGTCCTTTCATCTTTTTCTTCTGCTGAATCATTGCATTTGCAGTGATTAAATTCTATCACCCCATGGATTAAATAGACTTCACTGCAAATTGGCAAAGCTCTTCAAAAGGTTACAGGTCTGATTATAGCATCTCACCAACCGGCAGAGACCAAAGTAAATGAAAGCTCAAGCACTTAAAGTTAATCCAGTAGCTTTAGAATCCCACATCTTTACTTCCGCAGCTTTTACATTTAAAGATTTCTTTAGACCTCAGTAGTATTTGAACATGAAGTATCAGTAAGAATTCATTCATCTTAGAAGAAACTAACTTATCCTTAGAAATATAACTCCTCTCGTGGCTTCAACTATAGCATAATAAAGTACTAATGAGCATTAATCCCATTGAATTAAAGCCATAGAACATGCAGAAGATCCAAGACTCGATGCATTAAAAAAACCAAAAGATGCATCATCAACATAGACGAGAGTGACGTGTTGATGCGTGAACAAAGAACCATATCATGATATGATGCTAGCAAAAACCTCGAAACTTAGAATATCCGTGCCACAAATGTCAGTTTCGAGGACCATGTGAATAACTGGAATCTACACAACCAGCAAGTGACGTGATTTTATGATCAAATCTGTTAAGAACAACAAACTTCAGCCCTAAGAAAATGACCAAATCACAAGGGTCCCTCCTCCACTTTTATAAAAGCAACAGAATATTGAGAGAGCAACAGAGTAAAGACTATAACGACTACTAAATATGAAAAATAAGAAAAAAGCATAATAGGGCGGTGCAGTTGGGCACGCAATCTGGTCACTCCGATGCTTTAGTCTTCCATCTTCTTCCCTTTTTTTCCCCTTTTTTTCCTTTTCATATTTATATCCCTCCTTTTTTCTTTTGGCTAAAGAATTTGTTGCTTCTATAATCACAGCAAGTCTACTTTTGATTGTCCCACTTACAAGGTCAGTGCTTCTTTTGACATATTACCAGCTGGTATAATGGCAGATGATCACATCCCGATTCCTAATCCTTCCATATCATCAGATTCAACTGCTATATTTCCCGGGACCCCCGATTCCTAATCCTTCCATATCATCATATTCAAATGCTATATTTCCCGGGACCTCTATATGATCCTCAAGGAACCATTCTTAAAGCAATAGTAATCATTGGATCACAAATGAATAAACATATTTCAGCCATTCCTCAAAATGTTTTCAAGTACTTATAAGTCAGGACACTCATAATTGAAATTACAGTAAAACAAAATTGCGTACAAGTCAACTGGAATGTAGAAAAGCCCAAATTCAAAATGCATGAGAATTAATCAATTATCAAGAATTTCCAACTCCACAAATCCCTATCAATTACCCTGTGAGACTAGCTAGAAGATGAAACAAATAATAGCAATTTGCATTAAGAACAGCTCCAGAAACAGAACAAACTGCAATCAGAAAACATTAAGCAGAAATTTTTGTTAATTTTTTTTTTTGGCTCTTTCTGTCACTTTTCTTTTGTTGGTACTTACTTGTTTCCCTTGATCTTGAACCAGGCCTCTGCACAATTCTTGTGGGCAGCACCCAAATCGCCCTTGCAAGAACAGCCCAGTTGGATCGGAGCCCCGGATTCGTGGCTGTTGCTCTCCAACCCCAAGTGGCAAATCCTGCAGTCCCTCTCTCTCTCCGCTCTCGCCAAATGCACCTTCACCTCCCTCCCTCCTCCCTCGGCCACCACCGAGCAATCCGACGCCGACGATGGCCTCCCCGACCCGCCCTCGGCGTCGTAGTCCACGTCCAGCACGCGGGAGAAGTTGGACTCGTCGTAGGACCCTCCGGCAGTGGAGTAGAACTGGGAGTAGCTCGAGCCGCTGCCGTCGTCGGCGTCGGAGAAACAGAGGCTCTCGTCGTCGTCGTCGTCGTCGTCGTCGCTGCTCCCGACGTGGCGGTCGTGGGTTTCGCCTCGCTCCAAATCGACGCGGGACATTTCAACGGAGGCCATCATGGGGCATACCCAGATGCTCAAAAACGGATTTTTCGGCACAACGGAGCCTGGGGAGGCTCAAAGTTCGGAACTTTCGGAGATTCAAGAACGAGACGGCGAGTTTCCGAGACCCCGAGAGGCAGTGTCGACCGAAGCGCTCGATTTAAAGGGAAGGGAGGAGACTGGTTTTGGATTAGGTGGCATTCCTCTCTACTCCACTGTGAGAGACTCCATGGAGCATCGGCTAAAAAAAACAAAAAGATGAAAAAATCTCAGTGGGGTTTGGGATTGACAAGGAGGAGAGGAGGAGGAAGAATAATGCCAGAGAGAGAGAGAGAGAGAGAGCGCAAGAGAACAAGAACAGTGACACAAAGAAAGAAAGAAACTGTCTTTTCAGAATGGGGCTGCTTTTGCTTTTTTGGCAGAGGGGGCAGGAGGGAAACGAGAGAAGGAAACTTGCAGGGGTGGGGATTCATTCACACATTATTCACAGAAGTTACACAGCACAGAAACGGAAGATTTCCAGCTGATTCCTTGCTATATTATAGTATTCCTGACAGGAGGAGGAGGAGGTGGTGGTGGTGGTGGTGGGGGAGGGAGATCGTTGTGCAGTGCGGGCCGGTGCAGCAAAGTCACCGAATCATTGACGATCTGTCGTGCGTCGGATGGCGAACTGGGGGTCGCGCTTCTCGTGCGCTTTTGGACGTGGATCGTGGGGTGCGGGTCGAGTGTGGACTATAATAAGGATCGAGATCGGTCAATGGGCAAAATTTCTGCACGAATTTGCTCGGTCCGTCGTCTCCCTCTTCTTGGCTTTTTCCATGTCTACTTTGCCTTTATCATCATAGAGCAAGACTTTTGCCTCTCCGGGTCGAAAAGACGGGCGAGCCCCCCCGGACCGTTTCGAAAGGGGGGCTCGGGCTCGGGCGCGGCGGGGTGGGAGGAGGGGTAGGGATGTCAAATGCACGATCCCCGTGTGCTTCGGATACGGATGTATTTGGTAGTCGGTCTTTGAGGGATGTAATTTTATAAGGGGGGGTCACGTCAGAGGGATTTGCTGCAGTTTTTGAGTATTGCTTTAACAAATTGGATTTTACTTGGTCTTAGTAGAAATCAGCACAAAGCTCAAGTTGTATTGGCCCTCTTTTTTTTTCCCTCTTTTTTTGGTGTAGCAGGTCGGGTGTCCAGACCGGTTCTCACAAACCTTAACGGGTCGTCCATCTTGTCGGACGATCTTAAAGACCCGTTTCTTCCTTGTATCTTCTTTTACTACGTTGGTGACCTTAAATAGTAAAAGAATCGGGAACGTGTGATTTGCGAAGAGGTAGTTTATAGTAGGATCCGGGCCCGAAAAAGAAAAAGGATAAAAACTGTCGATGGAATGTTGGAGTTATGCTTTGCTATCACATGAAGGGAAAAAAAAAGATATTCTACTTTTAAGGGATCATAATCATTTTTTTTTCTCTTTCCCTAATTACCTTCGAGTAGCTAATTTTATTTATTTTCTGTTTATGGACAATTACATAAATTACTAATTCCATTAACGTACTTCAGTTTTTAAATTTGATCTTCTCTATCTTCTAAGAATCTGACAAAAAATTTCAAATCTTAAAATATCTTCTCTTTCCATATACACATACATACATATATAATGTCTTTATATTGCCTCAGTAACTTCTTTCCATTTTTTTTTATAATAAAGTGATTTTGCAAAAAGATTTAATTCTACTTTTTCCGTTTTGCATAAATGTAATGTACACTTTTTCTAGTCTGATTTTTTTTTTGGAAAACTCTTTTAAATTGCTCCTAATTTTTCCATTTGGTTAGTTTTTAAAAAAAGGGTTCATCATACTTCCGGTGGCGTCTGAATTCTACCATCAGTGAAATAAATTTAGAATTTTTAATTAATTGATTAAGTTGCCGAAAATAATTAGATTCGCTTATTTTGAGAAAGAACTCCTTTTTCCTCTTTTGTCTTACTTCCACGATAAGCAATTTCCTATTTCTTCTAATGAAGTTGATCACTTTACTCTTTTGGCTTAAAGGAAAATATGGGTAAGTTATCCTCAATATTAGTTTTGGTCAAGAATAATGATGGCATTTTTTGTATATAGAGACGTAGATATTATTCTTTTTATTCCAATGTCATGCAAAATTTACTCCTTTTTCAAAACCATAAAAGTACACTCGAAACGCCAAAGTTTTTCCTAATATCTCTATATTCATGTACTTTCCCAAATAATAGTATGTATCTAAATTGTTACGACTTACATTATAAATAATAAATTAACAAGGCCGTATCAATATAGAAGCTTAAAGTTAATTAATTTGAAATGGTGGCCGTACGAGCGGTGGAGGATGTGGTTAATGATTGTTCAATCAAGCTTCCATTAGACAAAATAATATTTTAAATTGCAAAAAAAGGAAATTATCCAAAAATGTCCATAAAGCACGTAATTTTTAACATACGCCCATTTTTGCTTAAGAGAAACTCTTCTCAAAGAAATGTGGAAGGATCTTAGAGTGCGATTGTTTGAGGAAAACTTCGTGATAAAGGAAAATACTTTCCCAAATCAATTTGTAAAAAATGGTTACTTTTCCTTGTTTAGTGATATGTGACCGACAACGTCTTCTAGTGTTTGGATCTCATTTGGAAAATGATTTCAATCTCATGACTTTATCTCAAGCACAAAAAAAAAAAAAATCGAATTTTTGAATAATTTTTATTTTTCTCTTTTCTTTCTTTCTTTTCCATCTTCCTCCTCTATCGGTCGCTGGGCCTCGGCATGGTTGCGACAGGCTACTGGCGAGGGCGGACCTAGCGAGCCTTGGGCTGGCGAGCTCGAGCTTGCCCAAGGCTGGCAAGGTTGAGTTCATTCGAGGCCAACCTGTGCTTGTGACCGATCACAAGCTGGTGCCGAGGCTCAGTGACCTGCAGGAGGAAGAAGGAAAAGAAAAAAAAGAAAAGTAAAGAAAAAATAAAATATTAAATAATTCAATAGGAGCAATTCCGTTTTCACCTTCTTAGATTTATGAATTTACTTTTCTAATTTTATGCTTGAATATTTTCCTTGACTGGAAAGTGTTCTCTGTTGATTAATCATTTTCAACGAACCAAACTGACGCAAATTTAGAAAACTAATTTTGGGAAAACACTTTCCCTCAGACAAATGCACATTTATAGTTGTTCACGTAAATACTATTATGGGCTAAAATAGTTATTATTGTTCACGAATGCTCTCTTTTAAAGAATGTTTATTAAGATAAACAGAAAAATTATATTTAATTTTTTTCTCGGAGCAAATGGTAAATTAGATATTTCACCATTATAATAGTAGAAATTCTTCTTCGAAAATGCTCTTTATTAAGACATTTTAAGAAAGCCCTTTGTACCATGCAAAGAACGAGAAAAAATGTCTTGTCAAAGTCGTCATTTTAAAGGAAAAAATATCATGTACTTATGAAAACATTGACCATAATAAGATATTGGCAACTTAATCAGTCGGTTGAAATTTCCCAATTTGTTCCATTTATTGTGAAATTAGGGTTCCCTAGGGAGTGGACAGTATTAAAAACTCGGGAAATAAGGGCCCGAAGTGCCCTCATTTTCTCAAATAAAGGTATGAAGTGGACTTTATGTTAAATAAGAGCCTAAAGTTGCATGGCAATCTCAAATGAGGGTATGAAGTGGCTATTAGACTCTCAAATAAGGGCTTAACCTTGCCGACCGACGAAATATTCGTCCAAAAATAATTTTAATTGTTTTCTTTTTCCTTTTTTGTTTTTGTTCTTCGTCGGTGGTCGATTCCGATTGCCAGAACCAGCCATCGGCGAAGCCCTAGAGGGGTTGGGCGAGGGTGGCCCTCCTAGATTTGGCGAGGCCCACCCTCGTCGGCAACAGGCAAGGGCCCAGGTTGCCCTCGCCTGTTGCTTGCGAGAGTGGCCTTCACCTAGGTTTGGCAGAGGGCCGCCAAACCTGTGCAAGGGCCAGCGGCCCTCCGCAGACCTGGGTGAGGACCAGTGACCCTTGCCAGATTTGGACCCGACCCTCCCGGTTCTAGCAAGGACCTGGTGGCCCTTGCCTTTGGTTGATGAGGGTCGCTAGCCATGGCCACCGCCTCACTGGTGATAGGGCAACGGCCACAGAGGGGCAGCAACCACAGGCGGGGGAGGGCTCCCTTGTTTTTTTTAAAATTTTAACTTTAACTTTTTTTTGAGTTTGTTTTTTATGGAAAAAAAACACAAGGAAAAAAATCAAAAAAATCAAAAGAAATTAAAAGACGAAAATGCCCTTGACTCCGGTGAGGTTGAGCTCTTATTTAAGACTAAGATGGCTATTTCAGATCCTTATTTGAGGTAAGATTCATTTCAGGTCTTTATTTGAAAAAAAATAAGAGCACTTCATGTCCTTATTTGATACAAGGTCCACTTTATGCCCTTATTTGAGAAAATGAGAGCACTTCGGGCCCTTATTTGGAATTTTCCCAAAAAATTCTACAAAGAATGCCCAAATAAAATTACCAAACGAGATTATGACTTTATTTATTATGATTAGAATCACCAATCTTTATATGCACTAAACAATGATAGCAATTATGATTAGAGTCAAGGTAAAAGATCAACGAATTTATAGTAGAATTTTAAAATCGAAACAATAGCATGCTTTTAAAGATTGAGAAGAACAAATAACAAATGTTGGGCACATAAATGAAAAACATCGACACAAAAATCACATCACAATTTGAGACTCTATAACTTATAAGGTTGCATATATATTAGGCAATTCAACCTGATAAGACCAATGAGGTTTGCCCCAGTGACCACTCTTCCTACTTAGGAAGGAGGAGGTGCGGAGTTCGAATCTCCACCTTCTCGAGAGAGCTATCTACTTAAGAAGGGAAATGTGGGGAGTTTGAATCCCCACCTTCTCAGGAGGGCTAGGGGTAATATCAGTTGTGAGTTTCGACTTTTACGCTCTGCAAGAAGTATGGTAAAAGCCTGAGAGTGAGTTGAGAATTAGAGTAGGATAGACAAAAAAAAAAAAAAAACTGATAAGGAAATCGCAAAAGAAAAATAAATAAATTAAAAAGGGACACTTCAAAATAAAATTGGGTTCATACTACCAAAAATTCAAAACTAATCCACACTTGCATCATTAACGCAAAATTAATTTTCGTATAACAAAAAATCCTAAATTAGTATACCGGTGACAAATTTGCCACCCATTTACCTTCCGGCCAATATCATGTAAATTGCCGATGTGGAAATACTCGTGACAAACGACTCGGATGATCAGTGCGTGACATGGCTCTGATGTGGAAATTCAATATAAAC